AGATTTGTCCGTTTCTCCCTATAATTATTTCCAATTTTTGTTTTACATTTTTGGGGCTTTATAAACTGGATGAAAGCTTATAGTGTCACATCTTACTGGTGAATGGAACTTCTCATCATTATATATTGACTCCCTTTAACACTGCATTTTTTTTTTCTTAAAAATAATTTAGTTTCTCATTGGTAGTGCTGACAGAGCTCTTTGAACTTAGGGCAACACTGTCGTATAGTTATTAATTTACTTGCTTACTATTTACCATTATTTGCTTTGGCTTCAGCTCCCTGATGCTTTTTTTTTATTTATTTGTTTAATGAGTTGCTTGTTTATATCATTTTCATGGCCCTGAAGAGTTACCTTATTTCTAATAAGCTCATCAATACGTTAAAGTGTATGTTTGCTATAATGTTGCCAGGCTCTAATTGAGATAAGAATCCCTCAGAATGTCTAGAGTCCCATACTGCCAACAAATTGGCACGCTTTTCAGTCTTTAGTGTGTGTGTGTGTGTGTGTGTGTGTGTGTATTTTATGCAAGCTCCATGCCCAGTGTGGAGCCTAATACACGGCTTGAACTCATGACCCGGAGATCAAGACCTGAGCTGAGGTCAAGAGTCAGACGTTTAACTGACTAAGCCACCCAGGAGCCCCTACTATACTTCCTGAAAGTAGAAGTTATGGGCCTGGAGGGGCTGGGGGGCTCAGTCAGTTAAGCAACCAACTCTTGACTTTGGCTCAGGTTGTGCTCTCACAATTGTTGAGTTTGAGCCCCAGGTTGGGCTCTGCGTTGCCAGTGCGGAGCCTGCTTGGGATTCTCTCTCTGCCCTTCTCTCTACTTCTCCCCTACTCATGCTGTTTTGCTCTCTCTCTCTCTCACTCAAAGTAAATAAATAAACAAACATTTTTTTTAAAGAAGAAGTTATAAGTCCAAAAAGATAAGACAAGAGATGTGGGCACCAAGGAGTGCCGACCAAGCGAGCCTATAACGTATGCCTACGTACACATACGGCTATTTCCCAATGTCTGTGGGTAAACAATGTGTGAAGGAAGTATGTACATGCCTTTCTCTGTGTTCTTGAAATCGTGGGTTTTTCAAATTATGTTTTATTTCCTTTTTTTATTTCTTCTTTCAATGTTTACTTATTTTTGTGAGACAGAGAGAGAGCATGAGCAGGGGAGGAGCACAGAGAGAGGGAGACACAGAATCCGAAGAAGGCTCCAGGCTCTGAGCTGTCAGCACAGAGCCTGACGCGGGGCTCAAACCCATGAACCGTGAGATCATGACCCAAGCCGAAGTCAGAGGCTTGAGCCCCCCAGGTGCCCCAATTATGTCTTATTTCGGTCAATGAATATGTACTATATATAAAACAACTAGGGTGTGAGGACCATAAAGATTTTAGAGATCCTCACATTCATTAAATGTAAATAGTGCTTATCTCTCCATGTTGGGCGGGGGAGGGGGGGTGGTGAGTATTGTCTTCTATTGATTTTCTGTTTCTTAAGCTTCTGCTGTGAGCATGTACTAGTTTCCTGATTATAGGGAAATAGTTATTTTACAAACTTCAAAGAGTTGGAAACCACTACTTTGACAATTGAGAGCCTTTAGAGCAAGAAAAGCAAATTCGAAGGCGAATGGATGGAGCCAGGTCTGTGAGGAGAATGAGAAGGTGGCCGGTGGAGAGTGGGGGAGGGGACCTGGGTTTCCAGTGACCTGATGGCAAAGGCCAGATGAAATGGGAGTGAACGCTTGTCAGCTTCAGCCCATTTTTGCCCTGTAACACTGCAGGCCTGATGTTGCCAGATCTTCTGGCTAAGTGAAAATCGATATCTAAATTTTGTTATTTGAAGTCTTTACAGAGTTTTCAATGCTGGCAAACATATTTTTTTAAAAAATGTTGAAACAAGGCGCAGTTCAAATCAACCATCCGTGTAGATTAGATATGGCTCCTGGGTGGCCCCTTGATATCCTGTGTTAGGATCTGGACTCCTTATCTCTTTCACCTCCACGTGCACACTCCGCAATCACTAAGATCAAGTCCAGCCCTGAAATATTTCTGGACTAGGAGACAGCAGCAATTTCCTCCTGGAGTTCAGATTATGGGCAGCCTCTCTATCCGCCCTAGTTTTAATCACACTGGAACAGTTATCAAGTTGGTGTGCCCATCCATCCGTCCGTCCGTCCATCCGTCCATCCATCTGTCCATCCATGTATTTATTCAGACAACAGCTATTTTTTGGACATCTCCTAGACATCAAGCACTGCCCCAAATGGTGGAGAGAGAACAGGGAACGAGACCAAGCCCTACCCTTAAGGAGTAGGTAGCATTCTAGGGGAAGAAATAGCCAACTACAAGCAAATGATCTGATTTCAGATGTGAGAGGTGTGCCATCTAAAAGTTGTGTGAAAAGAGGAGGTGAGGGGACAGCATTGCTAGAAAGGGTGGCCAGGAGAGGCCTTCGCAGGTGGTGTCTGAATAAGACCTGCTTGCTGAGAAAGAGGCAGCTGTGCAAACACGGAGGGCGAACTTAGCTTCCAGGCAACAGATGCTCTAACAGCAAGTGCAAAGGCCCAGAGACAAGAATGGGATGATCTAGATTTGTTGGGGGAAATCTGCTAATCCTCTTCCTGAGCACCCACACCGGCAGACTGCCTCCCTGACTCCACTGTCAAGCACTTTGTCCTGTGTTATCTCCTAACTTCTGGCTGTGGGCCAAGGCCGTTCTCCACTGGTCCATCCCACGGGGCTGGTTTCCAGGCAGAAGACATCTTCCACCCCCAGCAGAGATCCAGGGCAAGTTCCTCCTCTTGACCTTCCTCTCTGATCTCCAGTGGTTATCTTCCACGAGAGAGGCCCCCCCTCCACCAAAGGGCCTCCTTCCGGCTCCTACAGAGCAGACCCATTAACTCCTTTCTAATGCCTTTTGATAAACATCCACACTCCTGTCACCACCTCTACCTGGCTCTTCACAGTGCACTCATCTCCAGCTCCAGCCTCTCCCCATCTTCTCAACCCCACCCTTGCAGTCCAGGCCTCAAGCTCCCCAGGCCCTTCTCTGGTATCTGACCTTCACATGCTTGGCTTGTTCTCTTAGAAACAGCATCTCCCCTTTACTTCTAGCAACTTCCTGGTCACTAGGCCGATAGGATGGCCTCACCATGGGCCTTGTCCCACTTCCCTGCGTCTCCCCACCATCTTACCTGTCTCTTGTGGCCCCTTCCTGCCTCCCACGAATGCAAGCTCCATGCCTGGCTCACCTTCAAGCTTCTCTAACCTGGTCCTGCCATCTTTGGTAACCGCTACCGCCTCCTACAATTCCAGAACCTTCAGTGCAGTGAACACTTGTAGGGTGAACACAGCTGGTGAATAATTAAGTCCTTGGGTTGATCTGGGCGCTCAGAATGGTCTGTCTTTGAGCCAGGAGTCATCACATTGCACAGGCAATCTCTTCTTGATGCATTTGTCATGAGCACAAGGTGTTGGTCCTGATCTATACTTGCCCGGGGAGGGGGTGTTAGTTCAGTATAAATAGAACTTTGTACGGGGTGCTCACTACCTGTCAAGTGCCCTGCCTGGAACACAGCAACCCCTCCTTGTTGAATAGACAGAATGAATGAATGAGCACCACGAGCGAATGAGTGAACACCACTCCAAAAAGCAGTTCACGCAGATAGTTACAACCCAAGAAAAGGTAGGTTCCCTGGTCAAATCCCATCCTACTGTCTAGGAAACATTAAGGCTGAAGGCGATTAAATGATCGGCCTGACATTCGCAAAGCTACTAAGTGGAAGGGCTGGGATTTCAACCCCCCACCATCTCGTTTCATGGTCTAATCCCTGTGCTGTTCCACGTGGTGGCTACGAGCCACGGGTGGCTCCTGGGGGCTTGTCCAAATGTGGCTGATCCAAATCTAGATGTGCCGCAAAGATCAAGTACATTCCAGACTTCTAAGCCGGAGTGTGAAAAAGAGAAGGAAAACTATCTCATTAATGCTTTTGACATTAAATATATGCTGACATGAAGGTATTTTGGATATACTGGGTTAAATAAAATATGTTATCAGAACTAATCACACCTGTTTCTTTTTACCTTTTTAACGCGGCTACTAGACTAGAGGAAATCGCACTGTGGCTCAAGTTCTGTGTTTTTTGGACAGCAAAAGTGGAAGCACTGAGCTGCCGATTCAAATGCAAACGCCCTTATCTTGAACAACCTGAATAAGGCACACCCGGGAGGTTGGCCCAAGGCTCCGTTCTTTGTCCCCCTCGGTTCTTCTTTCTTCCACCCCCTGGGGTGATTTAGTCTCAACATATCCCCAACCCCAAGGCTACTGCCTTGCTTTTAGCTGGGTATTGTGGACAATATTTACAATTCCCAGGTCTCCAACCTGGGAAGTTGGTCCTGAAGTCAGAACGTGGGGCTAAAATCCCTCTAGGCAAAATTATCTATAAAAAGCCCTGCAACTTGGCATGCGGTAGTGTGGCCCTGGTTTTGTGCATGTGGATATGTATGTATACGCGTATGATAGACTCACTAATGTACAGTACATAGCAGTACATTGCAAAACGTTAGCGTGCATAATTTTCCCACCTACGGTTATTATTTTGGTTAACCACTTGTGACTAAGTTGCAGATCTTGGGACCTTTTCCTTTTTTTTTTATGTTTAATTATTTTTGAGACAGAGAGAGAGAAAGAGAGAGAGCATGTGTGTGTGAGCAGGGGAGGGGCAGAGAGAGAGGGAAACAGAGGCTCTGAAGCAGGCTCTGTGCCGACAGCCCCACTGTGGGGCTCGAACTCATGAACCGTGAGATCATGACTTGAGTTGAAGTCGGACACTTAACGGACTGAGCCACCCAGGCTCCCCGGGACCTTTCACTTTTGAATGTTTCAGTATGCATTTCTTTTCTTTTCTCATTTGTCTCACTTTATCGCAATATTCACTTTTTATTGTAGTCATCTGAAACGAAACCCACAAGATCTCTAAGGAATGGCCGAACAGAAATTCTAAAAGTCTGGAACGTTTCACGAATTCACAGGTCAGCCTTGTGCAGGGACCATGCTAACTTTCCCTGTATTGTTCCAGTTTAGTGTACGTGCTGCCAAAGTGAGCACTCAGTATATATTTTTTAAGAATAAGGGGCGCCTGGGTGACTCAGTTGGTTGAGCATCTGACTCTTGGTTTCAGCTCAGGTCATGATCTCAGAGTTCTTGGCATCATGCTCTGTGCTGACAGCAAAGAGCCTGCTTGGGATTCTCTCTCATTCTCTCTCTCTCTCTCTCTCTCTCTCACATGCTCTCTCGCTCTCTTGCTCTCTCTCTCTCAAAATAAATAAATAAACTTTAAAAAAAAAGAACAAGTCCATTCTCTTACATAATAGTTACAATTATGAAATTCAGGAAAGTTAACAATTCCATATTCAATCTTCCCCAATAACGTCCCTCAGAGCAACTTTCTCCAAATCCAGGATGCAAACCAGTATTTCACACTGCATTTGTTTGTCATGTGTCTTCCGTCTCCTCTGGAACAATTCCTTAACCTTCCTTTTTTTTTTTTTTTTTAATGTTTTTATTTATTTATTTATTTTTAATGTTTTATTTATTTCTAGGAGAGAGAGAGAGATAGACAGCGTGAGCAGGGGAGGGTCAGAGAGAGAGTGAGTCACAGACTGAAACAGGCTCCAGGCTCTGAGCTGGCAGTCAGCACAGAGCCCGATGCGGGGCTCGAACCCACGAACCGCGAGATCATGACCTAAGCGAAAGCCGGACGCTTAACCGACTAAGCCACCCAGGCGCCCCTGTTTTTATTTATTTTTGAGAGAGAGAGAGACAGAGACGGAGAATGAGCAGGGGACAGGCAGAGAGAGAGAGAGAGAGGGAGGGAGGGAGACACAGAATCCGAAGGAGGCTCCAGGCTCTGAGCTGTCAGCACAGAGCTCAACACAGAGTTTAAACTCATGAGTCATGCGATCATGATCTGAGCCAAAGTCAGACGCTTAACCAACTGAGCCACCCAGGTGCCCCCCTTAACCTAAACAAATGATATTGGCATTTTTGAAGATTATGGGATCACTGTTTTGTAGAGTCCTCCCCTATCTAGATATGTCCGATTGATTCTTCCTTATCAGATTCGAGTTGAAAATGTTTTACACATATGCAGCATAAATGATGCTGCATCCTTTCCACTACATCGCATAGGGGCTGGTGGTGTCTGTCCGACCCATCTTCCTGCTAATGGTAACTATGATCATTGATTGAGGTAATTATAGTTTTTCTCTCTTTTATTTTAAACAGATTTTTCCAAAATGTTTACTTTGAAAGAGAGAGAGAATAAGGGAGAGAGAGCGCAAGCAAGGGGAGGAGCAGAGAGAGAGAGGAGTCCAGAACCAGCCCAGACAGCAGGAGCCTAGGGCAGGGCTTGATCCCACGAACTGTGAGATCACAACCTGAGACCTGAGATCATGATGTGAGATTTCATGACCTGAAATTTAGAGTCGGATGCTTAATGGACTGAGCCACCCAGGCACCCCATTTTCTTTTTAATTATTAAGAAATCTCTGGTCTCCCATGCATAGACACTTCTCCAAAGAAGACATCCAGATGGCCAACTGACACATGAAAAAAATGCTCAACATCACTCATCATCAGGGAAATACAAATCAAAATCACAATGAGATACCACCTCATGCCCATCAGAATGGCTAACAAAAACAACTCAGGCAACAACAGATGTTGGCGAGAATGCAGAGAAAGAGAATTTCCTTTGCACTGCTGGCGGGAATGCAAACGGGTGCAGCCACTCTGGAAAACAATATGGAGGTTCCTCAAAAAATTAAAAATAGAATTGGGGCACCTGGGTGGCTCAGTCGGTCCGACTTCAGCTCAGGTCATGATCTCACAGTTTGTGGATTCGAGCCCTGCATCAGGCTCTGTGCTGACAGTTCAGAGCCTGGAACCGGCTTTGGATTCTGCCTCCCTCTCTCTCTGCCCCTCCCTCACTCATGCTTTCTCTGTCTCTCTCTCTCAAAAATAAATAAACATTAAAAAAATTTTTTTTAAATAATTAAAAATAGAACTACCCTACAACCCAGTAATTGCACTACTAGGTATTTATCCAAGGGATACAAGTGTGCTATTTCAAAGAGGCACATGCAGCCCAATGTTTACAGCAGCGCTATCAACAATAGCCAAAGTGTGGAAAGAGCCCAGATGTCTACTGATGGATGAATGGATGAAGAAGATGTGGTATATATATATACATGTATATATACATATATATACACGTATATTGGCATATATATATACATACATACACATATACACACATATATATGTGTATATATATATATATAAATATATATATATATATATACACAATGGAATATTACTCAGCAATCAAAAAGAATGAAATCTTGCCATTTGCAACTACATGGATGAAACTAGAGGGTATTATGCTAAGAGAAATTAGTCAGTCAGAGAAAGATAAATATCACATGACCTCACTCCTATGAGGACTTTAAGATACAAAACAAATGAACATAAGGGAAGGGAAGCAAAATTAATATAAAAACAGGGAGGGGGACAAAATATCAGACACTCTTAAATACAGAGAACAGAGGGTTCCTGGAGGGGTTGTGGGATGGGGGGATGGGCTAAATGGGCGAGGGGCTTTAAGGAATCTACTCCCAAAATCGTTGTTGCACTACATGCTTACTAACTTGGGTGTAACTTTTAAAAATTAACTAATTAATTAGTTAAAAAAGAAATCTCTCTTCTCCTTTTGTAATCATAAGTAGTCTGTAGACTCTGAGTATGTATAAGTATCACATTTCCTAACAATTTCACCCAGAGGTTTTAGCGTCCATCAGTGATTTGCGCCCTGAACTAATTTTGATTAGGGTAGCTGCAAATTATTTTTAAAGATGTAAAAGAGGGAGGGGAGGGAACACAGGTGAGCAGTTGAGCTTTCTGAACATAAAGGCCTAGAATACGTTACTCTACTGTGTGGAGAATTTTTAATCTGCAAAGCATGGTTTGGGAGGAAGGGACAAGTTTAACCAAGATGTGGTCCCTGCCACCAGAGCAGCTCATGATCAGATGGGGGAGACAAAGCAGACAAAGCAGAGAGGGTGTGCGCATGCATGTGTACACACACACACACACACACACACACACACACACACACACACACAGGAGGAAGAGGAAAATGTCAAGCCGCTTTCCAGAGCCTGAGGTTCGCCCAGCACACAGGTGCTGTGAAAGGGACAGTCCCGCATCCTCAGTGTCATGGATTGATGGGTCCCTCCCAAATTCATCTGTTGAAATCCTAACCCAGTAAGTACCTCAGAATATGACCTGATTTTGAGATAAGGTCTTTACAGAGGAAATCAAGCTAAAATGAGGTCATTAGGGTGGGCCTGGATCCAGCATGACCTTTGTCTTTCTTAAAGGGAGAAATTTGGACTCAGACATACACAGAGGGAAGATGTTGCAAAGGGAGAATGTCATCGACAATCCAAGGAACACCTAGGCTTCCGGAAGCCTGGAGGGATGAGGCCTGAAACAGATTCTCTCTCCATATCTGTTCCGCCAACACCTTGAACTTAGATTTCCAGCCTCCAGACTGTGGGACAAGACATTTCTGTTGTTGAGGTCATTCTGGGTGTGGCACTTTGTTACAGTGACAGCCACCACTGGTGAAACGACCCCATGTTCACAGACTGCAAAATGTTGAGGGAAGAGCCCGGGCTGGGAGTCAAAGCCTTGGGGTCATGGCCAGGTTCTACCACTTCACAGCTGCTTTAGCTCAGGACAATCTCTTTGTCTCTAGCCTCCTTTCCTCATTTGTCAGTAGAGGGGAGTAAGCCAGGAACAACCCAGAACGGCTGCAGAAGGGGTGCCTCCCACTCCCTGGCAGCCATTGTGTCACCCAGGCTGTGCTGACTGCAGGACTCTTTCCTGGGAATCCCCTCCCCTCAGTCTCACTCTGTGGGATATGGCGGCATTTTTACTCCCTTTCATACTCAAGGTCAAGCTCAAAGGGGGCAGAACTAACACAAGCCAGTTACCCAAAATGCCCTAGTGCTGAGGCAGTGAAGGAGGAAGTTGGCTTATCTTTCTGAGATTTAACATGATCCACGGTGCATCAGGCGTGCAGGCCTCGCCTGTCATTGTCGTGGCCTTGACTGTGTCCCCTGAACCCAGAACATTACACAAAGCTTCCTGGTCTCCCCAGAACACTGCAGAAGTGATCACTCAATTTCATAGCTCTATAATGCCTTCTCTCCAGGGCCCTGGTTGCCTTCCACAGGCCACTGTTGAAAGCAAGGGGAGGTGGTTAAGGAGGGAAGTGTGGAGGGTCTCACCCCGGAGCCACCCCTCCTGAGTCTCAATCCTGACTTTGCCCTGAACTAGCTGTGTGACCTTGGGCAGTTTCCTCAGCCTTTCTGAGCCTCAGAATTCCCTTGTGTAATAATGACATAGTTCCTGGCTGATTGTGTGTATTGGCTATGGCCTGGTATATAATTATCATTCAATAAACATCAGCTATTTTTAATGCTTTTATTTATTTTTTGAGAGAGAAAGAGAGGGGGAGAGAATGTTGAGCAGGGGAGGAGCAGAGAGAGAGGGAGGCACAGAACCTGAAGCAGACTCCAGGCTCTGAGCTGTCAGCACAGAGTCCAACATGGAGCTCGAACTCATGAACTGCAAGATCATGACCTGAGCCCAAGTTGGACATTTAACCGATTGAGCCGCCCAGGCGCCCCTCAGCTATTTTTTGTTAGCATTTCACTTCTCAACTTCTCAGCCGGTTTTATCTCTTCCCCTGCCATCGGGAGTCAGGATTTTGGTGTAGGATAAATGATGGAGATCTGAGTTTAAAAAGGTCAAATACAGCTTGAATTAAGATTAGCGTCAGTACAAACTCATGATATATTTTATCCTTTAAAAAATTCTTTGGATTTTTTAAAACTCTGTTAATTCTAGATCTACTGAAAGGACCCAGAAACAATATCTAAACAGTATAAATGAGCATCCCCAATATCCAGCCTATGGTCTCTAAATACTGTTTCTCATTTAATGAAACCAGAAATAGCTGATTCTAGGTCTTGGGC